CCCACATCGGTACCACCCCACCACACACGACGACACACCACATCACACATCACTGTAATGTCTAAACCCTCTAGAAACGGTTTCTAGTGGTGATGAAAGGGTTGTTGTCTCGAGTGTTGGGGTCAGAGTGTGACTGGGGAGTGTGATTGTGCACTTCTACGGTGAGACAGGAACACGGAAGGTGAATGTATGACACCGGAGGTCGTGTATCGCGCGGACCAGCGCTAAGTGTCGTGTCGCATGTCCTGGCTCGGGACACTGATTATGTGGATGGTGTGTTCACACTCATGTCATACAGTAGGTGTCATGCATCGTGTACGACAACGGCACACACGCGCTAGAGAGAATGTTACCCCGGGGTTACGGAAGGTCCACGTCGAACCATAATATAACCACAGGCTTGGCAGACGAAGACCTTTCAAACTACGCATAACACCCAGGAAACACGGAGTCGATGCATACCTGGATCCCACTGCACGAAATCGGGGACAGGCCAAACACAGTGTACTTACACACTTGTGCGTTATCAACATACTACTCCCACTCCATCTGATGCTGCTTTCATCGGTTTTTGGCTCCCAGTGTTGTTGACTTGAGTGCCCAACCCCTCCGTGACCCCACCACAACCCCACACCCCGTGTTCGTTGACCTTACCCCTGATTTCCTCCTGCCCGCCACCCCCCAGAGGTCCCCCCTCCTACGTGCCCCAGCGCCACTCGGCCCCCCCCAGCGTGGCATGAGGACACGTTCCCCCTATGTGACCATAACGGGATGTATATGGATGTTATTTCTCTCTCTCACTCTATCTCTCGCTCTCTATCTCTCGCTCTCCTATCTCTCTCTCTGTTGTACTGTCTTCTGTATGTCTGTATGTCATGTTGTCTGTCTGTTGTTCTGGTCTGTACTGTTGTCTGTCGTCTGCTTATGTTGTTAGTCTTGTCTGTCTGTGTATCTATCATATCTCTATCTATCTCTGTATGTATCTCTATCTATATATCTCTATCTCTCTGTGTCTCTCTCTATCCTCTCTCTCTGTCATATTTCTCTGCTTTATATCTATCATCCTCTATATTATCTCTGTATCTCTGTTGTATCTATCTATCTCTGTGTGTCTCTCTCTATCTCTATATCTCTGTCTCTTGTTACTTTATATCGAGAATATACTATATCTACAATCTATCTAGAGAGAGAGAGAAGAGAGAATACATGAGAGGGGAGAGGCGTGGAGAGAGAGAGAGAGAGGGGGGTGAGAGAGAGCAGGAAGAGAGATGAGAGTAGGGGGGGGGAGGAGGGAGGAAGGGAGAGATAGAAGAGAATAGAGAGGAGAGAGAGGGGGAGAGAGAGAGAGGAGGAGAGAAAGAGAGAGAAGAGAGAGAGACAGAGATGAGAGAGAGAAAGGTGGAAGTAGCGAGAGAGAGAGGATAGAGAGAGAGAGGAGGGAGAGGAGAGCGAGAGAAGAGAAGAGTATAGCTAAGATGAGAGAGAAAGAGGCGCGCTCGGAGAGATGAGAGAGACTCTCTCTGTCTCGATATTCTCTCTCTCTATCTCTCTCGCTATCAGCTCGATCTCTACTCTCTATCTATCCTCTCATATCGATCTCTCTCTCTACTCTCTCTCTATCTCTATCGCTCTATCTCGCTCTCTCTCTCTCTCTCTCTGAGGAATATCACACACTGACGCACCTCAAAGAGGAAAAAACGTCGGTTGCCGGTTGCTTCCAGACTGAACAGATACATTGTTCAGCCCTTTCATACTACTGTAAATCAATGTATATTCGTTGTCAAGGCCCCGAGTTAGCGAGACATTTCACACGTCTCTGCCCATATAGGTGTCTGAAGGAGAATTGTTCTCCAGATAAAAGTTTAGCACGCTAATGGTACTGGATTCCCGGACTGGCATGCTGAAATGTTGTACTAAAACCAGACTGGCATGCTGAACACTGTCACTTAACCAGACTGACATGCTTTGAAAAACCTGTCTACGAACCACCAGACTGGCATGCTGAAACTGTACTAAAACCAGACGGACATGCTTGAAACTGTACTAAACCAGGTGACATGCGAAAACTGTGTACTAAACCAGACTGGAATGCTGAAATGTACTAAACCAGACTGTGCATTGCTGAAACTGTACTAAAACAGGTGAAATGCTGAAAACTGTACTAAAACCAGGCTGACATGTGAACGGTACTAAAACCGCTGGCATGCTGAAACTGTACCAACCAGCTGACATGGCTGAAATGAAACTGTACTATAAACCAGGCTGACATGCTGAAACTGATACTAACCAGACTGGCATGCTGATGATGAAAAATGTACTAAACCAGGACTGGTATGCTGAAACTTACTAAACCAGGCTGGTAGCTGGAAAACTGTAACTAAACCAGGCTGACATGCTGAACTGCTACAAACCAGCTGAAATGTGAAACGTACTTAAACAGGATGGCTGAGGAAACTGTACTAAACCAGACTGGTATGCTGAAAACTGTACAAACCAGGCTGGATGCTGAAACTGTACTAAACCAGGGCCCGGACATGCTGAAACGTATTAAAACCAGGCTGACATGTGGGAAAACTGTACTAAAACAGGCTGACATGCTGAGAAAATGTACTAAACCAGATGGCCTGCTGAAAACTGTACTAAACCATACTGGTATGCGAAAAATGTACCTAAACCAGGCTGGTATGCTGAAACTGTACTAAACCAGGCTGACATGCTGAAACTGTACTAAACCAGGCTGGTATGCTGAAACTGTACTAAACCAGGCTGACATGCTGAAACTGTACTAAACCAGGCTGGTATGCTGAAACTGTACTAAACCAGGCTGACATGCTGAAACTGTACTAAACCAGGCTGGTATGCTGAAACTGTACTAAACCAGACTGGTATGCTGAAACTGTACTAAACCAGGCTGACATGCTGAAACTGTACTAAACCAGACTGGCATGCTGAAACTGTACTAAACCAGACTGGCATGCTGAAACTGTACTAAACCAGACTGGCATGCTGAAACTGTACTAAACCAGACTGGCATGCTGAAACTGTAAAGTGGGCGGGATTATATACTGCCTGATTGGCCCTGTCCGGGGGTATCGTCAGACAGGGAAACAGTGTCCCCCGACCCCCGACCCCCCCGTCTCAGTCCCCAGTATCTATGCTGCTATAGTCTATATGCCGGGGGGCTAGGGTCAGTCTGTCCTGTCTGGTGTAATTCTCTCCTTAAGTTTGCTCATATCTCTCTCTCTCGCTCTCTCTCTCCCCTCCCGGAGGACCTGAGCCCTAGGACCATGCCTCAGGACTAGCTGGCCTGGCGACTCCTGTCTGTCCCTGTCCCCAGTCCACCTGGCCTGATGACTCCTGTCTGTCCCTGTCCCCAGTCCACCTGGCCTGATGACTCCTGTCTGTCCCCGTCCCCAGTCCACCTGGCCTGATGACTCCTGTCTGTCCCCGTCCCCAGTCCACCTGGCCTGATGACTCCTGTCTGTCCCCGTCCCCAGTCCACCTGGTCGTGATGCCGATCCAGTTTCTGCTGTTCTGCCTGTAGCTATGGAACCATGACCTGTTCACCGGACGTGCTACCTTGTCCCAGACCTGCTGTTTTCGACCCTCTCTCTCTACCACACCTGCTGTCTCGACCTCTGAATGCTCGGCTATGAAAAGCCAACTGACATTTACTCCTGAGGTGCTGACCTGTTGCACCCTCTACAACCACTGTGATTATTATTTGACCCTGCTGGTCATCTATGAACGTTTGAACATCTTGAAGAACGATCTGGCCTTAACGGCCGTGTACTCTTCTTGTACAAAATCTGAAGAACATAGGCCCATCCAGGTACTTTCCTCAGGTGCTGGAGTTGTAGACAAACTCATAGAAAACAGAAAGGAAAACGCAGCACACTACTGCTCATACTCCCAGGTGATATTTATTTATAACAACGTTTCCACCCTCAGGTCTTCATCAGGCGTCCATATCCCAGGTGGGGGTGGAAGGTCTCAGTGACATCACTTCCTGATACAGGTAAATGTATAACATAGGTTCACAATATTAACATTCAATGTATCAAAATATATGTTCATATACAAGGAATGTGATCAATATTTACAGTAATATACATACAATATTCATACAATGTTCAATTAGGATAAAATAAAACACAATTTGGACATATTGAAACTATAAAAATGGTTTCAAGTCAAACTCCTCGTTAAGGCCTTGTGGATCCAGAAAGATTCCCTTTGAAGAAGTTTCCTCTCAATGTCCCCTCCGCTGCATGATATCTTGACCAGTTCTATTCCTGTCACGGATTCAGCCGAGGCTGCTCCTCCTCCTTGCTCGGGCAGGCTTCGGCGTTCGTCGTCCCCGGAGTACTAGCTGCTGTCGATCGATGTTTCAGGGTTTGTCTAGTTTAGTCTTTATTGTTTACACCTGTTCCCCATTATGTTGGATTGTATTCCATATATTTACCCATGTCTCTCATTTGGAATTTGTGTGTTATTGTTTATTGTTACGTGTGTCGTTGGTGAGCGGGTTAGTTCCTCCCTGTGTGGAGGTATTCTGTGTGTCGTTGGTGAGCGGGTTAGTTCCTCCCTGTGTGGAGGTATTCTGTGTGTCGTTGGTGAGCGGGTTAGTTCCTCCCTGTGTGGAGGTATTCTGTGTGTCGTTGGTGAGCGGGTTAGTTCCTCCCTGTGTGGAGGTATTCTGTGTGTCGTTGGTGAGCGGGTTAGTTCCTCCCTGTGTGGAGGTATTCTGTGTGTCGTTGGTGAGCGGGTTAGTTCCTCCCTGTGTGGAGGTATTCTGTGTTGTGTTCTTTACTTCGTTTAGTAAAGTACGTTTCTTAGAGTTTCTGCGTCCTGCGCCTGACTTCTTCCACCGCATTACACTGACATTCGTGACAATTCCAGTGTATCTCAGAGAACTAATAGGAGGTCCAGCTTGTATAAAAATGAACAGCAACCAGATGTTTTGTTTCACCTGCCCGTATGTAGCTGCAGTGCTCACAGATCCGTGTCTTAAGGCTTCTGCGGGCTTTCTCTATGTAAAACAGACCACAAGGACATTTCAACATGTAAACAACATTGGTGGACATGCAGGTAATCAGGCCTTTGATCTTAAATCTTTGTCCTGTGTGAGGGTGGGTAAATGAGTTGCATTTGTACGTGAAGCTGCATTGAACACATTGGCCAGATTTGTAATTACCCTCAGGAACCTTGTCCAAGAAAGTTTCCCTTTTCTCTGGTGGGTAATCAGATTTAACCACAATGTCTCTCACGATTGGGGGTCTTTTTAAAGACCACACGTGGTGGATATTTAAAAATGGGTTTCAATTGTGGGTCAGTATCAATAATGTACCAGTGCTTCCTGATAATGTCCTTAAATGCCTTCCCCAATGGTGAGTATTGGGTGAAGCATGACGGGACACGTTCTGTTTTTTCTTTAACTTTTGGTTGAAGGCTTTTCCAACTGTGTTAGTCCTTCAGAACGATCATTGGCACGCTTTACCCAATTGTCTTTGTACCCCCCTTTCCTTAAACCTCTGTGTCTCGGTCCGTGGTCTGTTTCAGGTAAGAAGCATCAGAGCTGCATATTATTCTGATGCGACTGAATCGACTTTATAGAGAGACTTTTAATAAGTGGAGGTGGATGAAAGCTGTCACCTCCAAGGAGGGTGTTCCGGTCCGTAGGTCTCCTATAGAGATCTGTAGAGAGGGAGGTGTTGTCCTTAATAACCATCACATCAAGAAAACGGATTTGTGATAGGGTCATAGTTAATGGTGAAATGAAGGTGTTCATTCATAGAGTTTAGATAAGCATGGAATTCCCAGAGTATAGATCACGAAAATGTCATCCAAATATCTCAGAATGAGGAGAATATTGGCGAGAAAAGGGTTAAGGTCTGGATTCAGCACCACCTGTTTTGTACTCTTCCTATAATCTCCACACGGCACAGCCAGAAGAGGACTGGCCACCCCTCAGAGCCTGGTTCCTCTCTAAGTTTCCTGCCTCTCTAAGGAGATTTTCCTAGCCACCGTGCTTCTACATCTGCATTGCTTGCTGTTTTGGGGGTTTTAGGGCTGGGTTTCTGTATAAGCACTTCGTGACATCTGCTGATGTAAAAAGGGCTTTATAAATCAATTTGATTGATTGGTATACTGAAACTGTACTAGACTGGTATACTGAAACTGTACTAGACTGGTATACTGAAACTGTACTAGACTGGTATACTGAAACTGTACTAGACTGGTATACTGAAACTGTACTAGACTGGTATACTGAAACTGTACTAGACTGGCATACTGAAACTGTACTAGACTGGTATACTGAAACTGTACTAAGCCAGACTGGTATACTGAAACTGTACTAGACTGGTATACTGAAACTGTACTAGACTGGTATACTGAAACTGTACTAGACTGGTATACTGAAACTGTACTAGACTGGCATACTGAAACTGTACTAGACTGGTATACTGAAACTGTACTAGACTGGTATACTGAAACTGTAATAGACTGGCATACTGAAACTGTACTAGACTGGTATACTGAAACTGTACTAGACTGGTATACTGAAACTGTACTAAGCCAGACTGGCATACTGAAACTGTACTAGACTGGCATACTGAAACTGTACTAGACTGGTATACTGAAAACTGTGTACTAACCAGACTGGCATACTGAAACTGTACTAGAGACTGGTATACTGAAACTGTACTAGACTGGTATACTGAAACTGTACTAAGCCAGACTGGTATACTGAAACTGTACTAGACTGGCATACTGAAACTGTACTAGACTGGTATACTGAAACTGTACTAAGCCAGACTGGCATACTGAAACTGTACTAGACTGGTATACTGAAACTGTACTAGACTGGCATACTGAAAAATGTACTAGAACGGTATACTGAAACTGTAATAGACTGGCATACTGAAACTGTAACAGACTGGTATACTGAAACTGTACTAGACTGGCATACTGAAAACTGGTACTAAGACTAGACTGGCATACTGAAACTGTTAAAAATAGGACTGAGTTAATTGTACTGAAACTGTACTAGACTGGTATACTGAAACTGTACTAGACTGGTATACTGAAACTGTACTAGACTGGCATACTGAAACTGTACTAAGCCAGACTGGCATACTGAAACTGTACTAGACTGGTATACTGAAACTGTACTAGACTGGTATACTGAAACTGTACTAGACTGGTATACTGAAACTGTACTAGACTGGTATACTGAAACTGTACTAGACTGGTATACTGAAACTGTACTAGACTGGCATACTGAAACTGTACTAAGCCAGACTGGTATACTGAAACTGTACTAGACTGGCATACTGAAACTGTACTAGACTGGCATACTGAAACTGTACTAAGCCAGACTGGCATACTGAAACTGTTCTAGACTGGCATACTGAAACTGTACTAGACTGGTATACTGAAACTGTACTAGACTGGCATACTGAAACTGTACTAAGCCAGACTGGCATACTGAAACTGTTCTAGACTGGTATACTGAAACTGTACTAGACTGGTATACTGAAACTGTACTAGACTGGTATACTGAAACTGTACTAGACTGGTATACTGAAACTGTACTAGACTGGCATACTGAAACTGTACTACATTTACATTTTACATTTTAGTCATTTAGCAGACGCTCTTATCCAGAGCGACTTACAGTTAGTGAATACATTTTTTTTTTTATACTGGCCCCCCGTGGGAATCGAACCCACAACCCTGGCGTTGCAAACGCCATGCTCTATCAACTGAGCTACATCCCTGCCGGCCATTCCCTCTCCTACCCTGGACGACGCTGGGCCAATTGTGCGCCGTCCATGAGTCTCCCGGTCGCGGCCGGCTGCGACAGAGCCTGGATTCGAACCAGGATCTCTAGTGGCACAGTTAGCACTGCAAAGCAGTGCCTTAGACCACTGCGCCACTCAGGAGGTTAGACTGGTATACTGAAACTGTACTAGACTGGTATACTGAAACTGTACTAGACTGGTATACTGAAACTGTACTAGACTGGTATACTGAAACTGTACTAGACTGGTATACTGAAACTTTACTAGACTGGTATACTGAAACTGTACTAGACTGGCATACTGAAACTGTACTAGACTGGTATACTGAAACTGTACTAGACTGGCATACTGAAACTGTACTAGACTGGCATACTGAAACTGTACTAGACTGGCATACTGAAACTGTACTAAGCCAGACTGGCATACTGAAACTGTACTAGACTGGTATACTGAAACTGTACTAGACTGGTATACTGAAACTGTACTAGACTGGTATACTGAAACTGTACTAGACTGGTATACTGAAACTGTACTAGACTGGTATACTGAAACTGTACTAACACTTGACCCCACTCCGTCTTACCCAGCCAGGCGCCATTGAAAAGCTAGCTATTCGACAACGCAAGTTGACTGAGTTTCACAGATCCCCATCAGCTACATCAGCATATATCCACTGTATGTGTGAGTAACACGAGGAGGGTCCACAGATGGACTCTGTTAGTGAGCTCCTGGCAGTGAGAAAAACCAGCAGTCCTAGGCCTTTCACATGAGCATCCATTAAACCGAAAACACTGAAAACATTGTTTGTGTATCACCGAAAGCTTAAGATCACTTGTGGGAGCAGCGAACAGTAAGTGGGCATTAGCCGAAATGCTTTCTACATGGATAAACTGTACTTACAATAATAAACTGCACTTACAATAATATACTGCACTTACAAAAATATACTGCACTTACAATAATATACTGCACTTACAATAATATACTGCACTTACAATAATATACTGTACTTACAATAATATACTGCACTTACAATAATATACTGCACTTACAATAATAAACTGTACTTACAATAATAAACTGTACTTACAATAATATACTGTACTTACAATAATATACTGTACTTACAAAAATATACTGTACTTACAATAATATACTGCACTTACAATAATATACTGTACTTACAATAATATACTGCACTTACAATAATAAACAGTACTTTTATATATATTTTTTTATTATTTTTTTATAAGAAATATAAATTTAAATCTTTTTTTTAATTTTTTTTTAACGACTTCAAATCCCTTTTGGCCCAAATGGCCCCCTATTCCCTGTATAAAACCCAATCCCGGGGGTTTCTTGGTAAAAAATAGTGCACTATAAGCGGGAAAATAGGGTCCCCATTTGGGCCCGAACCAAATACCATTCAGCCCAACCATTATTGCCCCAAGGGGAGTGTTTGCATTGACCCCATTAACAGAAGAAAATTCAAAACCATATAACCCCCAGTCCCTATGTTCACAATTGGGAAATTTTATCCCCCTTTTCCTTAAACCCCCAAAAAAGAACGAACGAACGCACCCCAAGCACGAAACCGGCACCACGCACGACGCACGCACCGCACGACCCCGCAGGGCCCCCACGCAAGGAGGGCACGCACGCACGCACGACGCAGGGCACGAAAACCCCACGCAGCACGAAACGCACGAAACCCACGCGGGGCCCCGCTACGCACGGCACGCAAAAAACCAAAAGAGGCCCGAAGAAACCCAAAAAACCCCAAAAAAAAAAAAAAAAAAAAAAAATCCCAACAAAAAAACAAAAAAACAAAAAAACCCCAACAAAAAAAACAAAAAAAAAAACAAACAAAAAAAAATTGGGAAAGGATTTCAATTTTTTGATGGTCGCCCGTTTCTAAACAGGGGGGGAAAAAGGGGGGGGGGAAAAAATTGGGGGGGCCAAGCCCAACCAAATTTTTTGAAATTCTCCCCTTTCCTTAAAGAGGAGAGAGGCCGGGATTTATATTTGGAAAAAAGGGGGGCCAAAAAGGAAAAGACAAAATGGATTTAAAAAAACCCAAAAAAATCACTTTTGTAGGTTTTTTTATAATTTTTTTGCAAATTAGGTGGAAAAAAAGGGTTTTTGGCCCCCCTACAAAAAGAAAGTTTTCTGTTCTCCACAGACCTGAAAACTTCTTCTTTAAGGGGGTTCTTGTCCTCCACTCTTTAAACCGATTAATGGCACCTGGTAAAATTTGGGTTATCATTTTAAAAAAAGAAAATGTCCACATCCTAAAACAGTCACACTCCAAAACCCCAACTAGGGCCCAAAAGACCAAAAGAGCTTTTAAAAAGGACACCAGAAAAAAAAATTGTAAAACCTCCCCACCAGGGGGAAAAAGACTAATCTGCAATGGGGGAAGCAGCTTGGTTGAAAAAATATGTGGGACCAATTAGGGGGGAAATGGAAAAAAAATACAAGGACAACTGAAAATCTCCTCGTTTGGGGGGCCTCCACGAAAGGGATCTACCCCGTGGGGCCCAAAAATATCACAAGAACGGGGGAGCAAAAAAAAGAAGAAAAACCGGGGGGGGGGAACCTTGGAATGCCCTAAAGAGAGGGGGAACAAAAGTAAAAAAAACCCCCCTCCCAAATGGGTTGGTTAAACACCAAAAGCCGCCAGGGGGAAAAAAAAATCCGGGCGGTTGCCAGACTTTGCCCCACCCTTTTTTAAAAGCCAGAAAGGCCCGGGCCCCCTTTCTGAATTTTGGGGCTGGTTCTTTTTGGAGGACCCAGAAGAGGATTGGGGAGAAGAATTAAGTAGGGGGGGAAAAAGAAAATAAACCCCGGGGGGGAAAAAAAAAAAAAAAAATTTCAATTTTGTAAAAAAGTTTTGGTGGTGGGGAAAACATAAATGTTTGGGGGGGTTTTTCTGAAAAAGGGCCCAGGCCCCAAA